ATTAATAATCGTATTTACAATGACATTAAAATAGCTAACTTAAGATATTTTGTGAATTTCGCATAGTAAATATTAATTACATATGGCAGTCTAATAAACTGGATAACTCAAACTTCTCTTTACTAAACAGCTCCTCATTATCATTTCGAATTGACATTCCAAAATCGGTCAAATACACATATCCTTTTTCGTCAACCAGGATATTTTTCTCACGAATATCATTGTGAAGAATCTTATAATCATGAATCTTATCTAATGCTCTGAGAACCCTCTTCTTTTGCCTTTTATCTATTTTATGATGACTTAACGTAGTGCTAACCATGGACATACCCATAACAAAGCTCATTCCACTTGTCAAATCACCATAAAACAACAATTCTGGAATATATATCTCTTGAAGTTTAGCAAAAGATTTATAAATTTTAACTTCGTTCAACAATTCATCCAGACAATTGGGTTTCTTTGACAAATCAGTGCATTTTAGGACAATTGTCTATCCATGGAATTTACATTCAAGCATCTTTTTATTTTCTCCAGCGTTTAATATACTATTATACTTAAAGTCTCCATAGTTAAAATTCTGAGCCTTCATGTTTTGTTTTCCAGAGGTATTGGAAGATGATTGTTTAGAAGCTGATTATTTGAAAGATGATTGTTGACTTCCAGAAGTACCGGAAGATGATCGATTGAAAGATGATTGTTGACTTCTTCTAGAGAGTTATGGATTTGAGTTAGAATCATAATGATTATCATCAGAATTATCGTGTGAACATTTTCAAAGATTATATTGTGAATTGTCAATTTGCAGAATGATGCTAGAATAAAGAGAATAATGGTCGTGCTTTGCTAGCTGAGCTAGATATGCGTAGTTCTTAAGAACTGGTAGACGTGTTGAATCCAATGAAGGTGACTTTGAAATATATAGATGTTTATACTCTTTCTTAACAAACTAATTATTATCATAAGTAGAAAGTGCTCCGTATTTAAGCTGGTTTTCTGACAAGTAGTTGTAAATTTGTTATATCACCATCCTTGCTTTAACATTCTCTTTATAAAATTTGGGTAATGTTTGATCAGGTTTGATACCTAGTAAAATGTGATATCTCTTGATTTCAATTGCCATGATTAGTTCATCATCATCTTTTTTGTGGCAAGTAAAATCTGGTTTACCAGTACCTTGAACTTCCCGCATTGCAAAATCACAATCTTATATAACTTCATTCAAAATTATACAAATGTTTACATTATAAGCACTGCGAACAATTTCTTCGAAGATCGCCTTAAATTTTGTATTAAATATTAGTTTTTGGAATTTTCGTTCTTCGTCAAACATATACTCATTTACATTTTTGAGGAAGTCTTTCCAGAGTGTCACTTCATCCGGAGGGTCACTTACTACATTTGTAGAACTTGTCAAGCTAGTATAATGCAGAGAATATGTGACATATGGCGGAGCATATGATAGATATTCTTCAAGACTTAGAAGCCCTAAAAAAATGGAATAAGTTAATAAATACTACGAAAATACTGACTAGAAAGACGTCTGTTGAATAACATTCCAAATAAACTATTTTACAGAACTTACTTCAATTATTTAACTGGGTGACGAACTCCACAATGGTTATAGCTGGAGCTCTTCTTAAATTCATTTGCAAAAGATCCTCTTTGGTTACCAGAAGAAACGCTTTACCATGATATCCTTCATCCTCAATTTTACTGATTTCAGTATCATTAAGTGAAAAAAACTTTATTGGTTTCTAAAAAATTTTTAACGTTCTCTATGATCCAATCATTAACTGTTTCGAAAGATGGAGTATTTATAGTAGAAGTGAACATATTATTTTTTTTTATATTGCAGTGAGACGAAGCAATAAATAGTTGTACAGTTTCAGAAAAAAGAAAAAATTTGCAAAAAAAAAAAAAGTGAGGATTTGGGGATATATATAAGAAATCTATTGTCGCATAAATCAGTCAGACCTTTGCGAAACTTTATTAACAATTTTTCAGATACAGTAAAAAGCCACGAAGCAAAAAATGGTAGAGATTGCAAGTGAAACAATATGATGCTATCAAAAAGGGGGGAGTACTCAGATTCTAGACCATAAATGAGAGTCTCAGCATCATATTATTTCTCAAGTTTTTGAAAAAATTTATAGCTAATTTGTTTCTTTGTCTCACACTAGACTTTTGAAATAAATTATCCTACCCATATCTATAGAATTTTTGACTAATTACATATCTTCCACCCACACAGACTATGTAAAATAACATTTCCCTCAAGAGAACTTTCTTGATATTGAGTAATTTCGAAACTATAGCACAAATTTGGTGATTAAAAAAATTAGCAATGCAGTATTTAGCAAAGTGCTTTTAACCCGATTCATACTTACTGCTATGATTCATAATATTCCATTCCATCTTGTTTAATGCGTTATAATAAAAGTGTTTTGATTTTTTTATTGCCAAGTATACAATACTGTGCCAAATTCCTGCCCATTCGTGGTCGGATAATTCATTATTTATCATCAATACCATTTTTTCAAGTTTTGCATTCCTTGCGAAAATTCCTTGGAGCACCTCTATTGTTAGAACATCTTAGGTTAGCATCTCATAGATTACAATTACGATGCTGAATAGTACAATCAAAAACATATTAGAGTTTGAAAGCATTTTGTGATAAGAGATTGGTTTGAGAAATTTGTTTGAGAGATTGTTTGAATAAGGTTTTTTGAGATATATGCAAAACTTTATTTTTCGATTTGCGATATTTATGATTGATTATCCTTAAAAGGCTTTTTGATTTTGTTTAGAGCAGAGTACTTGTTAGAGTATTTGGAGGATTAATTGAATTATGCCCTCCTTCGGTCAAGACCTTCAGAAAATAGCCTATCTTAATTGCTTTCTTTTTTTGAACTATAGTGAGAAAAAAGGTATTTTTATAAATAAAATTTCTCTGCAGTTCGTCGCTATGATCGTCGCAAAACATGAAGGGTCCTAGAACAAAATATGGCAATCCTATCTATTAATTTGCTGATCCCGATTCTGAAATTAAGCTGTATTAGCATGCAAGCCTCTTATCAATCAATAAAGTCAAAAAATATTAGCAACCTCCTTTGGTAAAGACCCTTTTTTCTGGGACATAATGTCTTGGAAATTTACCAAGAAAAGGGAAAGGCTATCTCTCGCAGATCGAGAGAGGGTCTGATTTGTTGTAACGATCTTGAAACGTAAATAGCTCATCAACCAATGATCCTATTTTGATTAAGATTGAACGACTGGATTTGGCAGATTCTGAACTTCTGTAATATCAAATTTCGTGAAATCAGATCACTGGATGCAGAGTACTTCGATAAATGTAAGATCAATTATTTTAGACATAATCACTAAAGAATCTTGAAGAGATCACATTGCCAAAGTGGCGTGTGAAATTTTGGTGATCTGACAACCTACAAAATACTAGTTTCGGGTTCTGGAAACCTAAAGGAGGTGAGAAATTGGTAGGTTGATATGTAAGAATTGATAGCTACCCAGTGAGTCCCAAAATGTATTATTAGCACTATAAGAGAATTGAAACTTCAACCGCCTACGAAACCTGCTTCAGCTATTGTAGAAACTTCAAACCAATTCGACAAGATGCAGGATACCGAGAGCTTCAAAACAAGCCAAGGTGTGAAGTATTTGGATCACAGGAAGCCGGAATAGCCTTTACAGTTGGAAAATTTTACTATGTCACATCATGGGTTAGAAATTGACAAATCATAGATCATTTTGCTAAACGTAATACTGTGGAACCGTCGCTTTCAGATGCTATGCTTATCACAAAACATGGAACAAATATGGCAACCTAATGTCTATTAATTTGCTGATTTCGATTCAGCTAAAAAATAGACCTATATCACATACTATGCAATTTTTCCCGGGCGGTGATTGATTTCACATAACCGGTCTAAGCCACAATCGCGAACTTGAGTTTATTGCTTGAACTGTTGCAGTAAGATAATATTCCAACTCATCTTGGGAATACAACTTTGCTAATTCAGGATCATAAAGGAGCTGATTTCCATTTTTGCGATACTATGAACCATGTAATCTATAATTTTCATGTTTTTCATTACAAATAGAGCATGATGAGTTCTATGGCTGAGCTAATGCAAAATTATAATTATCAATCCCCCTAAAACTATTTTGGAATTTCAGGTATATGAA